TCATCATTATTATATTTATTAACCCGAACACGACAACAGACCAGTGACATTTCCCTAACTCATGTACTTACAGTGACGCCGATGAGCACAAAGGCAGACACACACAGGACGGTTCTGATCATCATTGTTGGTCGTTGATTGTGATCGTTGATTTCGTTCGTTGATAGTGACTTGCTAAGCTGTGGCCACCGGAGTATTTATAGGCCGACAACGTCAACTACGATTACTCCGTAAATCTTGTTTTTCTTTTTCGTTTTGGGAAAAACAAAAGCAAACATTTGTGCAGGCTGCTAGTATCCCATATCTGGTAGCGTATTTTCGAAACAAAAATTCAATACCTATTCCCACATGACCTCCCAAAAGATCGATTGAATAAACATATTATGCAGTCCTTGTGGAAAAGAAAGACTGACGTGAGGTGTCATTAACGAGGTCAATCCCCCTCCCCCAACCGACACTATCCTCAACACGTTGACAAACTATGAACACCTGGTAAACATAAGCAAATGTCTTACATTAGGTCATTTCACCTATTTGTTGACACCTCTTTATATATAGATTACATAAAAGCATATACGGGTTACTGGTGATATTTCTGTAAGGGCTAACGCATTAAATTGTTTGGCTTCAAGCGTGTTACAGGGGAAATTAAACAATTCTTCGAGAATCAGAAACTCAGCGTACCTGTGTGGTGGCTTCAATAAAACAAAAATAGTAGGGATTCCGGTAATAAAGTGAAATTTAAAAAAAAATTATAATGGTTGCCATGGTAACGGCTGTCAAATATTGGAATTTTATAATGAAATGTATAACTTTTAATAAAATCTATCACACGGTTATAAATTATTTTAGAACATTGTTATATGTGGTTTTACAGCTTTCTGTGGCTGCTTCAGTGGATGAACTTGGCACTTTTGATATGCGAGGACAGATGTTTTCAGAATCGAGGTCCAAACTGGGGAAATATTTTGACAATAAAAATATCAGATGGTGACAAGAGATTAAATTTATAATCAAACCTTTTTATTTTTAGATGTTTTAAAACTCACTACCACATCTACTAGAATACTGTTTCATTTATCAGCATACCAAATATAATGTAGATATCTTTTAAAAAATTCAAATCATAGATTTTTTTCGGTTCCCACCCCTTGAAAAAGCCGGTAGTTATATACTAATAATAATATAAGCTCACATTGATTTTGTCAATGGTTTAGATATTCACTCTGCTATAAGAGTTTAGATATTGCAGATCCTTGCTTCAAACAGGTCACCCCCAGTCAGATGCCTTTGCTTCTCAAGCTGAAATTGCTGTCTCATTCTCTCTTTATGACCTCATTTTGATAGACGTTTGCCGTCCGTCATGGTACATTTTAGATTGTTTGCGATTTTACCGGATTGGTGCCCATGATAATGTCGTCCTACTGGAATGTCCAAGGCTTCCATACAGGCATTTGCAAACAGTTCTGAAGGGAACCACAGTGGAATACAAAGAAACAGAGAGAGAGAGAGAGAGAGAGAGAGAGAGAGAGAGAGAGAGAGAGAGAGAGAAAG